TGGCAGGTTTGGGAGGTTTAGATGCGGCGTGCAGGAGCCTTCCTGGAGGAAGCGCTGTTGAAGCTGAGAAGTGAATGACAGGGAGGTGGCCATGCCTGGGTCTGAAGGAGAATGTTCCAGGCAGAGAGGATGCTCATGGCCCTTTGCAGAACTGAAAGAAAGCCAATGTGGCTGGAGCAGAGAAAGCAAGAGAGAACATAGGTGGGAAGGTGTGAGGCAGGTGAGATGGGAGTGAGTGGAGACGAGAGAGAAGACTGGACGACGGCTGATTTTACTCTAACCGCCCTGGGGAATCATCCGCGAGGGGAGATGTGGTGCAGTGCGGCGCCTCCATTTCTCCAGATCTGCACACGAGTCTCCACGCCAGCCTTCGGGTGGAACCGGTAGGAAGCAGTGAGCAAATCCAGAAGCGCTAAGTCCCTCTCATGACTAAAGGGCATTTACTGTGGCCTGCCGTTTGGGCCGCTGCCAAACATTTTGCTCCAAATAGTTTCAATTTATATATATAAACTTATTAAAACATATATGGGTGTGTTATGTGTATATAAACATATATATGTATTTCCAAGTTATTTTCAACGTGGCGATTTTTATCCTTAATTGCTTTATCCCTAAAACAACTCTCAAATTCTATTATTCCTATACATTTTCACTGGAGTCTCCCCATGAGCTCAGGACTCTACAGCACTCCACTCTGCCTGCTTAGGTGGAGAGGGGAAGGAAATTCTTGTGGCTGCCCTTTCACATTCTCCCCTGCAGCTGTGCTTGTCCCCTGTCAAAGGATAATATCATTTCCCTTTTTAACAGCCAGAGGAGCTCACATGAGAGGTGAGAAACAGGCCACACAAATCCCATTAAGGTCCTCACAGCGCTGAGGGTGGCTCTCATTCCTCCTCCCAGGACACCCTCCTGCACGTACAATCTTGGATTTGACACAAACAATAATACAACTGCGGCTGTGCCTTCGGCAGCCGGAAGGAGACCAAAACCGTCTAGTTCTACCATCAAGGGTGCAACTGGCCCCTCATGTTACTCCTCGCGGCATCTACTACCCAACCCTGGGAGTTCTCTCTTGCCCTCCGTGGGACAAAGGAGCAGCAGCATTTTCTCATGGAGAAAATAGTAGCGTGTACGCCGCCTAAGTATGTATGAGTCTCTGTTATAAAAAGGTTGAAGGGTGTTGACATCCTTCTGACCGAGAAAGGTGCTTGTGTCGTTTGGCTGCATGCTCAATCAGAGAACAACAAGGCATCCAATTAAACGTGTCCTAATTACTTTTGCTATTATCAGGTGACAATTTAACATTTATCCTTGCGACTCCAAGCAGAGTAGTAATTGATCCGTCTTCTGTAGTCCTAATTCAGCAACTCTAAAAGCGCTAGGGACACTAACTTAAAAAATGAGCTGTGCAAACATGTTTCCCCTATTGTTTTCCCTATATCTGCAAATAACAGAAATTGCAGGTAGTTTATTATCCTTATTATCATTATTATTAATATTTTTATATATACATTGTATTTCATTTAATGATAATTTAAAATATAAAATATTTTTAATTTAGAAAATATATTTATTCAGAAAGTCCTGCTAAAGTGACAAACAAAACAAAAAATACATGAAAACAGCTACTGATCTGACCTTTTTTTCATTCAGTCAATAGAGGTTGATTTTCAGAATACTTATTATAAGTTATTGAGGTGTGTTTTTTTTGTTTTCGTGTAAGTTGAGCAAACTATACAGTTACTTCCTTTCTTAGAGATCATAAGATAGTGGAAATTCACAATGTGATAATAAGGAAAGGAAACTGCAACTGGGTATTTTCTGCTCCCCACCTGGGCTCCTGAGTCCTAAAAGTGAGTTTTAGGGAACAAAATGAGTTTGAAGATATACCTGCTAGGGTGTTAGTCTAGATCAAATAGATCTTAACTTAGCCTTTCTTTGGAAAGTAAGTGATGGGATCCATGGAAAATAGAAGGGAATTTTGTTTTTATATTGTATTTCATTGTTTAATATAAGAATAATACTTTTAAGGAACATATGAAAGTATAAGTATAATTTCAATTTATCAGAATTACCATAATTATTGCATTTGGTCAAAAGTCTTTTAAAGTTTAATGGGATTGAGATTACTTTTACTTTTGTATCAAAGTAATGAAAATAAAATGTACTGATCTAGAAATTTTGAGTGGATATGGCCTGGTTCGAGAGAAAGCCATAATTATCACTTCTAGTCAATGAGATGCCTTGGTCAGTGCTGGGGAAGGTCATCAAGAAGATGTGACCATCAGGGGGCCAGCCCCATGGCTCAGTGGTTAAGTGTGCACATTCCACCTTGGTGGCCCAGGTTTCGCCAGTTCAGATCCCGGGCGCGCACCTACACACCTCTTGTCAAGCCATGCTGTGGTAGGCATCCCACATATAAAAAGTAGAGGAAGTTGGGCATGGATGTTAGTTCCTCAGCAAAAAGAGGAAGATTGGTGGCAGATGTTATCTCAGGGCTAATCTTCCTCAAAAAAAAAAAAAAAGAGAAGATGTGACCATCCTTTGACTGATGAGCTGGGCGCAGGCAATTAGAGGTGGCCCACCCCCTCCTGTCTTTGGAATGTGTGTTCTGCTTGCTGTCCCCAGGCCCAGAAGCCACCCCAAGGACACAGCCTTGAGTCAGTGGTAAGGAGCCTGTCTCAACTGGGTACTGAATAAGCCCAGTGAGGGCCCCCTGTGTAGGTGACTGAACCCAGGGTACGGCCTATACATAAACTTTTAAGGTTTGGAGGGTGGATATGGAGATCTTCTCGTCTTGTGGCCACTCAAGATAAGCCTCATCTGTAAGAGCCCTTGCTCGTTAAACCTGCCACCTACCAATCTGGAGTGGTCTTCCTCTTGCTGTGTCTCTCCCCACCATCCTTGTGGGGGGCCGGTTTCACACAACACCCTGGAAGCTCCTGGGAGCTTGCAACCCAATAGTCAAGAAGATATTCCCAGAGATAAGAGACACAAAAAGGTTGTTAAGATGCTTCTGCGTAAAACCAAGAACATAATGCCTCATCAATAGAGGCAGCACTGCCCTGGCCGTCACACGCTTCACAGAGCCACTCTTGATTGTCTGGAGAGTGTGGCCTTCCCTGCATGTCAATCAAATTATGATGAGAAAAATCCTCGTATAAGTGAAGTGAAGGTAACCAGAGGTGAAGCAGTGACACGTTACGTCGGCAGCTTCACCTAAGAGAAAGATCTGGGGAGGAGTTTGTGCAGCAGGTGGATTATAAATAGGTTTGAGGTTATGGAAATTGGTAATTTATGGGATCTGTGTTTATTCTGCTGGCTTGGTTGCTCTTAATGCCGATAAACCACCTGTTCCAAATCAACTCTGCTTCGCCTCCTCCAGGGTCAGAGTGTCTATCAGAGAGATCTTCAAATTGCAGAAGACAGAACTGGGGACATGTGCGAGTGGGCTGGAAATTCTAGTAATTACAGTTGCTTGCAAGTTACATGCAGCTCCCTACCCCTTACCACGGTCTGAGGAGGCTGAGCCCATGGAGGGGGAGGAGATCCAGGGATCAGTAGGTTGAACCTCGGAGTTGTTATCGCAGGACACCTAAGAATGTGCTCCTGTGCCTTATGAAAAGCTGTTGAACCATGAAGAACACTTAACAAGTGGATATTGAGAGCTATTTCAGGTATTGCTACATTTTTATGTTCATAGAATATTTAGTAATGCCTATTTTTGATTTAAGAATTGAATGATGTTTTGGGGCCAGCTAGGGTGTGTAGTGGTTAAGTTTGCCTGCTCAGTGTTGGTGGCCCAGGGTTGACCGCTTCAGATCCTGGGTGCAGACCTATGCACTACTCATCAAGCCATGCTATGGCAGCATCCCACATAGAAGAACTAGAAGGACTTACAACCAGGATATACAACTATGTACTGGGGCTTTGGGGAGAGGAGATTGAAAAAAGGAAGACTGGCAACAGATGTTAGCTCAGGGCCAATCTTCCTTACCAAAAAAAAAAAAAAAGAATACAAAGATGTTTCACCATAAGTCTTTGAAAGAAAATGCATAATTAAGCCTCATACTCAAGGTGAGATGTCTTATTGACAATAACGCCCGTTATTTTAAATAGCCATGATGTCCCTTGCTGCTGATAGGATATTAAAGGAAGAATCAAGAAAATGATTTGCCTGGGATCACACACATCTGTAGAAATTACGGGGGGAATCCCACATTTTGATGCTCAGTATTCAGTTAGAGCTGTGAAAATATGTTCTCTCCCAAATCATTTTTACTAGGAAGTAATAAATATATTCCTTACTTCATACACAAGCTCAGTTCTCGATGAGGTTAATTTTGTTCACTGCATTAAGTCCTCTGTAAATGATTTGAAGTCACTGCTCTCTGACAACAGTTCAGTAGTTTATGTCGGTGATCACGGTCAGGTCCTAGTATTAATGTGTCCACATCATGAAGGCTGTCAGGAAAATGGATACTAATGAGAGCCCTTGCTGGAAACTCAGGACAAAGGCCAGGTGTGAAATTCTATGGACAATGAACTCTGCCTTAACTTCCATAGACTGCGCCTTCTTATCAGAACTAAAATGCACCAGCAGAAAGATTTCACTAGGAACACACATTGCACATTTGGAAAAGCAGAAGAGCTAAATCTGTAGTGCCAGAGACTTGCATCTCTCAAGGTGTGTGCTTCGTGCAATACAGATGTTCCTCAGTATACACTCGGTCAAACAACTGAAACTTCACTGGCTGCAGAAATAAGGAACGATTAAGAACCTTTGAAACTCAGGTAATCTGTGCTGTGAACAAGTGCTTTCTTACGCCCACCTTACAGACATGTGCAGTATAAAACTGCATGGAGAGAACGGAAGCTTGATCTTATGACACAAATATTAAAGAAACAAGTTACCAGGCACAGGAAAAAAAAATATATATATATATTTTTTAAATTTATTTATATACATTTTAATTCTCTAAAACCTACTCTTTCCACAGCTATCAAAATAGATAATTATTCATTCTCCTGCAAGGCGGAAGTGTGTTTCCCACCTACCAAGTGGGATTTGAGAAATAACTTGTCCTGGAGGTACACAAGTGAGATTGTCTCTGTGACAACCTAGCCACCACGTTTCCACGAGAAGATGATTTTCAAGGTCTAAGGTATTTTAAAATGTACTTTAGGAAAACGATCTCTTTATAACATCAGGACTACCTGTATTAGTTCCGCCTCTCCATATTTTAAAATGTCTCCAAGCTTTCTTCCATCAGTAATTTATTTACCACCTGTCTATAGCCATATCTTGCATGTGTGTACATTGCTTCTAGGACACTGTTCTAGCTGCTGAGCTGTAAACTTGCCATATGCAGGTGGATATTTGGGGTGGGAGGTCAGGAAGGCTTGGCCATCGCAAAGTTGTTAAAAAGAACCCTCAAATTCCTGCATGTGCCAGACTTTGTCATTAGAAAAAAATTAATATAGTTCACACAGAATTCCTTTACTATTTTCCAAGTATATTACAGGTTAATTCGATAAACTTAAATAACAAAGTTCAAGTTCTTAGCGATGCTTTGCTGTCACTGAATTGTGTATTAATGAAGTGATTTTTATGTGAGATCTGCAAAACATTTTGACATTATCCTTATTTTAAGATATTTTGGGAACCCCTGCTCTATGCTACTCCAAACCATGCCTTCTAAATTATAGCCATGGTTCTCTAACTGGTATTCCATAAAGATAAACAATCTATGTCTTAGCAATTTCACCGTATGACCATCTCTTCAAAATTATCTTCTGGATTCAGGTTCACCATGATATACTCTGGTGTTATGTTCATTTAGGGCAAGAATTCATTGTTCCAATTCCTCTTTCATAAAGCATCTACCCTGGGTAATACTCATATAATAAGATCCTTAACATCGTGGTATTCAACAGTTTCTTTCCTTCCTAGATATTAACAGACAGAAAATGAAAGCAAGACAGATCCTCAACTGAAGGAAAATTATACAGAAAGTAGACACAGGACTTCTGAAGTTGAGAATATTATCTATTTTGAAATAATTTTTTAATCTCTACAAACAAATTTTAGGGAAATTCTCTGAAACTTCACTCTGGAAAATTAGAGAAGTTCTCAGGGGAATAAAGCACTGATTCCACCACGACTTTTTCAGTCTTTCAAAGATGGTTAAAGCTTTCATTTTTGATCCTACCAATCTTCCTCTAATTCTCTCTCCATCAGATGGAATATACCCTCTCCATAATCTTCCTTTCCGGTCTAAACACAGCAACAAGAAAACTGGGTATAAACATATCCCAGCCTTTCAGTATATGTACGTAGTTTGGTTATTATAAATATTAATGGATGATGTAGATGAAGACACATTTCTGAAGTGATGAATTGCTTTCTGAAAGGACAAGTACAAATGACCCAAGTGTCTTCAAATTTGGAAGCAAGTCAGCTTTCCGTGTCTCTTATTTTGCTGTACTCAATCTGTGTCAAAGTGACTCAAGTTTAGTTTCCACTTAAATAACGCTTCAGGAAACAAATCACATCAACTTGATGAGATTTCTTTTTACTTCATCCTACTGTTTTTCAAAATTACGAATTGCTTGCCTTGACACTAAGGCATCCATGATGATTAACTTGGCTGATTACTCAATTATTTCTTTCTAAAATTAGAAACTTCAAAGTGCTTTTTTATATTTAAATGACTAGCACTCGAGTAACACTGCTGATCAATCATTTCAAGCTAATGATTAAAAACAGTGACCGTTCCTTTACTCTCCATCACTACTCTAAACGGTGTGTCAGACACAGCAGGCTCGATTTATTGTCAGAGCATTTTAACACCGGCCAACACAGATGGAACACTGTTCAGGCCTTTAACACTCTTCACTTAATATCTGCTTTGAATGGTTTTAGAAAGTGGCTATTTCTCAATTTAAATTATTTGATTTAGTAAGCCACGTTCTTTTGGGATGTGTTGTGTCCTAGAAGAAATTTTGTATTTTAAAAGCTACATTTTCATGGTTCTGCATGGCACGGAGAAGACAACAATTTCCCAAATGGTTCCAAAAGGCATTGAATTATTTATTGAGAAAAATGTGATAGAACAAAGAGTGAAGAGTTGATACATCTTGTGTACTTTAGATATGATACAAATTAATTTACTTTCATTAAATTTCGAAATCATTAATTCAATCCAGAAATGACAGTGTTTTGTTTAAATGATACAAAATAACAATGAGCTACCTGGCTTGAGCAATACATTTCTCAATAGATGCTTTTGTTATATTCATGGCTTCTCATGTCCTTGTAATTTAATAGGACTCACTCTGAGCCATTTCTTGATATTAAGATGGAAAAAGAACACAACATGTACACAATTTGTCTGTCAACTGGTTGCTCTTTTTCAATTCCATTCCCTCTTTCCTCGTCCTCTTCCCACCGTGTTTATACCTGAGTACTCCAGGGCTGTCACCCTGGGTCTCTTCCAGCCACACTCTTTCCCAGGTGATCTCATTCTATCACAGAGTTCCATGTTTCAACCAATTCCCGCTTTACAACATCTGTGTTCAATTTCTAACACCAGGTGGATTTTTGGTACTCTGTCCTTCAGCTTTGAAGAGTTCTTTATGTAGCGAAGATGTTAGCCATTTGTGGTAGAGGCTGCAAATATGATCCACTAGTTTGTCAATTGTTTTTTGACTTTGTTTATAACTGATTTTGCCATGCACTTTAATGTAATCAAGTTTATCACCGTTTCTTTCATTGTTCCTGGATTTTGAGTCCGAGTTAGAAAGCCTGTCCCCAGACCATGATTAAGGGGTAATCCATTCAGGTTTCTTCTGGTACTTGTGGGGTTTTATTCTTACTTTGAGATCCCTGATTCATTTAGAATTTATTCTTGTATATGGTCTGAGATATGGGTCAAATTTTCTCTACATGGCTGCACAGTTGCTCCAGCATTATTTATTAAAAGGTCCAACTTTACCCCAGTGGTTTAAAATACCAGCTTTATTGTATACTAAATATTTGTCTGTTCTGAGCTTCATTTCTGGACTTTTATTCTATTCTGATGCTGTGTTTGTCTATTTGTGAGCCTGGACCTCTCGGCTTTAATTTCAGAGATAGTATAGTATGTTTTAATGTGGGGCAGAGATAAGTCCCTCTCAGAGATTTCTTTTTTAAATTTCTTGGTTATTCTTTCCTTTTAAAAATGATTTATAGTATTGTTTTATCTTTTACTTATTTTATTTTTTAAGTTTTAGGTCAGGTTCTTTTCTTCCCCCCAGCTCTTTTGGGATGTGATTGACGTATAACATTGTGTAGGTTTAAGGTAAACAAGGTGCTGACTTGATATACGCGTATATGTTGTGAAATGATTACCACAACAAGCTTAGTTAACATAGCCATCACCTCACATAGCTACCATAGATTTTTCTGGTGAGAACTTTAAAGATCTGCTCTCTTAGCAAATTTCAAGAATACATTACAGTGTTAACTTTAGTCACCATGCTGTATATGACATCACTAGAACTTCTTCATTTATAACTGGAAGTTTGTACTCTTTGACCACCATTTACCCACCCCATCTCTGCCACTCTGGCAACCACCAATCTACTCTATGTTTCTGTGAATCGGGGTTTTTTAGATTCCATATATAAGTGAGATCAAGCAGTACTTGTCTTTCTCTGTCTGACCTATCTCACTTAGCATAATGTCCTTGAGGTCCACCTATGTTGTAGCAAAGGGCAGAATTTCCTGAATGGGGCTGTAGCATGAGCTCCACAGCTACCTGGGTTCTCCAACCAGGCTTCCTGGTCATGTGGGACTGGAGACAAAGCTCATTAGTTGGGCCGGGTTTTGAATTTGTGTCCCTGTCCCGGGTAGGCTGTAGGATGTGCTCCAAGGCTGCAAGCATCTGTGGCCACATTTCCTGGAGGGGCAGGACCTTACATTATGCTCAGCTGTTGGGCGGGGCTTTGAACTTGCTTCTCTGCCCCAGCAGGGCTGTTAAAGGGGCTCCATGGCCATTCTGGCTCATTGGCTGGAGACCCAAATCAGGCTGAGCTGCCAATGGAGTGCCCCGGCCAAATGGGACTACCAGCTCAGTTCTGTAGAGGGGCAGAGCAGCTGGCTGGGCTCTCTATTGGGCTGCTGCTACAGGCAGGAATTTGGTCTGCCAAACTCTGAGCTGTGGTTGCTGTAATTCCTGCCTCACTCTCCACCCCTGTCTGATGCCCAATGGTGAAGGCTTGCAGATTCCCCCAGTGTCTCCACGAGGTGAGACCCAGGTGGGCCTCCTAAAATGCATCCCTCAGTGGTGGGGGAGCTGGATGTTTACCTTGCCTCTCTTTTCCCACGGGAGAAATTGCAGACCAGGGGAGCCCTTTAGGTGCAGCACTGTGCCGGCCTCAGGCAGGAGCAGTAAGTCCAAAGTGACCCCACACATCTTACCCTTCTAATGTGGTCCTTGTCAGTCTCTGTGGTCCAGGTGGTGCTTCAGCTTCACTCCTCAGTTCTGGGGTTTTCACAATACTGTCTTGTCTTTGCATAGTTGCTAGTTGGTTTTCTTGTGAGGGACACTGAAGCTGGGAATGACCTAGGTCACCATCTTGATGATGTCACCTTTTCTTGGCTATTCTTGCTTATTTATATTTCCTTGTGAATTTTATTATAATTTTGATTCATTCCTTGGACTAGCTTATTGGCATTTTCATTGATATTGTATTGGCCCTATCTCCAACACAGTCCCATGGGGGATGAGGGATCACAGAATCATGTGCGTATGCATCTTTCCTGTACCGTAATTAAATGTTTTCATGTCTCCCTGAATTAGACTCTGAGATTATGAAGGATAGCGCACATGCCTTTTCAATGCTGAGAATATAGCAATAGTTGACATAGTGGGCATTTTTATCTTGTCCCTGATCTTAGCAGTCATGCTTCTAGTGTTTCTCTACTAAAAAGGATACTGGAAGTTCTGAGTAAGATAAGGTAAGCAATTTCACCTGTCTCTCCCACTGAAAGAAACCACAAAACCTGGACAGAATGCAAAGAGAAGCTGTTTGATGATAACCACATGCAAGCAAACAAATAAACAACTGAAACTCGACCTAAATCCTACGCTTCTTACAAAACGTAACCCAAAATGCATGACAAATCTGAACGTAAAATACACAGTTATACAACTTGTAAAAGTAAACACAGGAGAAGATATTTGTGACCTAGAGTTAATCAAAGAGTTCTTATCCACAGCACTAAAGCATGATCCGTGGACACCTTCTCCCTTCAGAGAGTCCAGCACTATCTAGGTGTTTGGTTGGTTGGTTGGTTGGTGGGGGAAAGATTCTGAGACTTCTGATTTTGTGGATCTCTTTTGCCTGGTAGAACCCTAAACTGGTCTCTCGTTCTTCTTTTCCTTTTCACCATCCTATTGCCAAAGGGTGCTTCCACTTTCCTTTTGCCTTTTTTCTCCCTAGAAGCTGTGTCTCTTGAAATTCCCCCTTTAAGTCTCTCCTATCCCCTTAAATGACATCTACTCTTTTAAATCTCACTTCTCCCCTTGAATGGTGGCCTTCTCCTTTAAATCACGTAATTTTAAATCTCTTCTTTGTAGATTATTCCCTGATCTGCCCAGATACTGTTCCAGTATTTTCAGATTTAGGATGGATTTAATATTTTTGGTGCCCGATGCCGCTCGTCTTTAGGCTCCTCTGACTGGCCTTCCTCTCGTGTCTTCACCACAGTTTTTCTCGTTCTGCCTTTGCGGCCCCAAAGCCTGGTGCCTGGACGAGAGTCGTGTGGTGGCCTGAGAGGTCCTGCTCTGGTCTTGGGGTCTTTGCTCCTTTTAACTTAGAGTTATTTGCAATTTCAGCCTTCTTTATGTTCAAATTATACTATAGGTACAGTTTTACGTAAATTTAATTTTCACTTTTGATTTTTTTAAGAATTAAAAAAAGAACTATATACTTTTCTTTTGATTTGGAGAGGAAAATGTTGGAGACAGGTAGTTCCATTGCAACACTGTCCTTAGCTACCAAGAAATATTGCTGAATTCAATTTCTAATATATTGTTAAGAATTTTTTCATCTACATCCATAGCAGAGATTAACTTCTAATTTTACTTTCTAATAATGTACGTGTCAGATTATAATGTCAGATTTGTCCTAGTTTCATAAAATGTCTTAACTCCAAAGCTGGGGGAGGAAAGACACAACATGAGCTTGAAAACTTTGTTATTCCAGAAAGTAAGGAGATGCTAACATCATCGTCATCATCATCATTGCAATTAATAGGGGCACATTACAAGGACACAGGATGCAGCTGTAAGTGATACCTCTGGCCAAATCTTGGACAATTTGAGCAACAACGTAATAATCCATGAGTACACAGTGATCACAAATAAACAGATAAATGAATAAATAGATGAAAAGAGGACAAGAAGGGCTTCTTCTTATACTGGAACGCCAATGGATAGTTTCTAAATGTGAAGAGATTGCAGGAGATGGAATAATATCATTTTCACCATAATAGTGGAGATTGGTTCAGGCAAAATCACTAATGGTTGCTAAACCTAGGAGGATATATTTTATGAGATACATGATACTTGTATAGTCTGAATGTGTCTTCCCACAGCTTTCTTATTAGTTTCAAGGGAAAAATAGTAACTATAAAGTGGAGAAATAGGACAACACCTTGACTGGGTGAAAAAATTAATATTAACGGTGAGAGGCAGTTGACTTTGTATATTTCCCAATGTGATCCTCTGTGAAGGACACAACATCATGTAGCTCATTTTTCAACCTGGAATGAAAAATCTGAATCTAATTATGACAAACATAAGACAAACCCAAGATGAAGGTATTTCTATTTACAAAAGTTGAAAGTAAATGATTCCAGGTCGGGAGTAAGAAATGTACAATGATTCAAAAAAGAATCTTGTCATAAAAGAGAACAAGGAATCTATCCAAGACCACTTGAATTTTTTCAAAAGTTCTCAGGGTTCAATCTAGCTCACACTGGTAAAGATGGAGCAATTTTAACATTAAGAAAAATAATTGTAACAGGTTGAAGCAGGTCAAATGTATTTAAATCTATGAGTTCATAACAATCAAAAATAATTGTTCATAATTCAAGAACGCTAGTAGAGCTATATGTTATTTTAAATATACGTACTTTAAGAGAAAAAATCAATTCTTTATCTTATTTTTCCTGTGAAAACTACCATTGTAAAACTCAATAGTAAATTAAAGAATATTTCTTGCTATAGAAATATTCCACATAGTAAATGACAAAGAATGCTAAAATTAG